ATGCAATAGTCTTATTTTTAAACTTACGAGCTTTAGCCATCGCATCTCTAGTTGATTGTGATTCTTGTAATGTTGTTGAACGTTGAATAGTTTCTCCACGTGTAACAATATTACATGTTGTTAATGCTAAATCAAATTCAGCAATATCAATACCAAATAATTCACAAACAATTTGAAGTAAATATCGATCAGTTAAACATGTTTTACCATCAATAAAATGTCCTTCATTTTGATGAAAACTTATATTACCTAAATGTAAAAGACCTGCTAATATTCTATATATAGATTTAACTTCATTTTGTTGAAAACCAATAATTTCAAAACATTTTTCAATTGTAGAAAATTTTGATTTAAAACTTTCAGATAAATCATGATCATCTTGTAAACCAGTTGTCAAATAATGATATGTTTGATTTGTTGATAAATAAAATGATTTTTCATCATTTGGCAATGATGATGCTAAACCATGAAATAAATAATAAAATATATGAAAATTTCTTTCGGCACGTCCTTGATTAACAACACGAGTTTTTTCTAATAAATATTCCGATAAACGTGCACCTGTAACACGTCCTTGTTTTGTAAATAACATTTCAAGATATTTTCCAAAACGTGATGAATTATCATTAATTATTGTTCGTGCATTACCAAAACCTTCGATTAATGGATTTATTTGAAGAATTTTTTCTTGTAAACTTTTATTTGGTGCATTACCAAGAAATGTTAATTGTTTAACAAGAAAATTAGCTGATTGAGTTTTACCTGAACCACTTTCACCTGATATAACAATATATTGATTTTCTAAATCATGTAACATAGCTTGATAAGTAAAATCGGCTAATGCATAAATATGTGGAGGTTGTTCACTTTTAACACTTGAACGATAACGCATCATTACATCTTTACCATAGATTTGTAATGAACGAAATGGATTAACAGCCTAATAGATAAGAATATTATATAAACAAAGAAATGGATGTGAATAAAAAAATGTTTTATCTAAGTTTCGTTTTTCGAATGGGCGGCGCCCATCCGCTGGATAAAACCCTAATTCTATGAGATAGATTAATGACTTACAACAAGTATATCACCAATATAAGTATAAATTTGATTAGCTAAAAATCGATCATACATATAAGTAATTATTGATTGCTCATCGAATGTTTCTAATTGTGCTAAATCATCAGTTGAAAATGAATTTATTTGTTGTTGTGGGTTTAATGGAGAATCATTTGTTATAGATGATGAATCAATTGCATAAGTTGAATCATATGTTGAATTATAAAAATTTGCATTGTTTAATTTTTTTGCTAAAGATGGATGACAAACAGGCATACCATCATTTATTGGTGGAGCAATAGGTTGTTTTTTTATTAACGGAGAATGATTTCCATTTTGCTAAAAAATAAAAGAAAATTTATTTTTATATTTTAATAAAATAGTTGTAATTTTACTTCATTTATTTGTTTTTGTTGTCGTTTTGATGGTGATTTTCGTTTAGTTTTATAACCTTGAGTTTGTTGTGGCGGTGGTTGTTGTTGTATTCGTGCATTTGCATCGTTCTGATAAAGTCCATTTTCAATAGCAAATGGTGGTGGAGGTGCTGCTCGTTTATGATTTTCTACAATCTGATGTGGTGGATTATATGGTTTTCCTATGACTTGTATAATTCGTTTTGGCGGTGGAACTAATGCTTCAGTCGTCGGTGAATAGGATGTTATAGCTGCTTTTGACGCATCAATAGCTGCTGATGAGCATGTTTCTGATTTACCTCGGATACGTCCATTTTTAACACCACATGTTTCACGAGATTTTTTACCAGATAAATCATAACATCGTTTATAACGATGAATAATTTGTATAATACGTCGACGAACTTCAATACCATCAGGTGGTATATGTGTTATAAATGGATGAACTAACATTTGTGCAACAGAAGGTCTTGCTTCAAAATCTTTTATTAAAGATTGACGAATAAAATCATTAAATTCATTTGACCAGTCTTGTGATTGACGTAAACAGGGTGGAGGATTTCGAGGAATAGATACAAGTGCACGCATTGGATGCATATCAGCAAGTGGAGGTTCACCTTAAAATAAAATAAAACAAAAGTTCGAATATATATTTATTAGAATATAATAGGTTTTACCTTCAGCTATTTCAATAGCAGTAATTCCTGTTGACCAAACATCAGCACGTGTATCATAATCATAATCCATTTGTCTTTCACAAGCAATGACTTCTGGTGCCATAAAAAATGGTGTACCAACAGAAGTATTACGTCTTCCATTATTTGGATTTAAATATGCGCTGACACCAAAATCAATTAATTTAATATGACCATCACCTGTTATTAATATATTATGACCTTTAACATCACGATGAATAACATTATTTGAATGAAGATGGTATAAAGCTTTCAATGTTTCACGTAGGATATAAGCAATAATTGCTTCATCAAGACGTTGATTTGCTTTTAACATTGCTTTTGCTAAATCAGTAACACTACCACTAGTACATAATTCCATAACTAACCATAGCTGATCAAGTGGTAATGGTAAAGATATTGAATTTGGACTGACAAGACTACTGATAGATTTAGTTTCAATTGAAAGAAGACTAGTTGTATCGATAGGTGCTAGTGGTGATGTAATTGGATTACGAGGTGGTGGTGGTGGAGGAGGTGGAGTACGTTTTAAATATGCACCATAGAAACGACAAATATTTTCATGATTAGAAAGTTCAAGAAGAACACGATGTTCTTGTTCAATTTCTTCAAGAACTTCATTAGTTGGATGCATAATTTTTACAGCAGCACTGAAATCTGGATTTCGAATATTTTTTGCCTAAATACAACAAAAAAAAGAATAGATTTCATATGTACATAAAAAATATGTTTCATTAATTTACACGAAATACTTCGCCATAAGTACCATCACCTATATTTTCTAGTAATTGCCATTCACGATCAGGTGATGGTAAATCATCAAGTCGAAAAAAATTATTATTATTATTATTATTGTTATTAATCTGTTGATTAGCTGCAATTAAAATTGATTGTGATTGATGTTGTTTAGATGATGGACGTGAATGAAGACGAGGTGGAATAGGTGGTACTGGTTCAGCTGATGATAAGGGTGGTGATAAGGGATGGTGATGATGATGAAGTAATTGCGGCATCTATAGTCCAAATAAAAAAAAGAATAAGATGAAGTTTTTTTTGTCACTGACTATCAATCAAGAATAATATCAAAAAGAATTAGAAGTGATGGACATCGTCCTCTTCTCGTAAAGAGCAGTTAATGTCGTCTGTCTTTCTGTTTCTCTTTCTCTTTTTAATCCATTTGATCAACAAGGCCACGCCTAATTGATCAACAAATCATTAGCATACACACGTATCACCAATTAATTTCTCTTTACTATACACATATACATTGACTGAGACATCGCATAAGGATCGCCACTGTTTGTATCTTATTCTGTTGTCGTCGTCGTCGTCTATCATTCTTATACATATGTACGTCTATATATATATATATGAACATCAATTTGATCAAATAGTATACATGTCGACAAAGACGAGTCGTGGAAGATTAATAAAGCTTGGCTTGTGACTTGCATAAAGTATATGCATACATACGAATATATATACATATGTATAACATAAGTGAAAGTCAATAGAAAAGCTAGTCTTTAATACATTCGTTCGTATACATATACGATCGAATACTGTTTACGAGAGAAAAAATAGGATAAAGACAATAATTAAAACTAATCTCTGATAATGATTAGTCAATTATTGATATTAGAGAACATGATGTCTTATAGTCACATTTGATATCATAATTACGCACATGACTTTTTTTCTTATAAAGTATTTAGATATAATCACGTTGTTTTTTTTTTCTATTAACAACGGATAGACATTGTCAACCAACATTGTTCAATAAAAGTAGTCTACGTTATATAGTAGACAAAAACAACAACTATAGTTCTTACATTCATTTTCATTTATTTATTGAAAGAGTATCTAGGATTAGAAATACAACACAATGAACTAGAGACATTAAGAAAACTATTAAACAATTCTTTTCCTTGAATATAAAGAAAAATATCCTATGTTATGGAACTTATATCGAATAATCTTCGTATATTAATGAATGATATTCTTATGAGGAAACAATAATCAATAGAGAATTGAAAAGGTTGCACTTCCGTGAGATATAGCTAAAGTGTGAAAATAAAAATTAATATTTATTTACGCTCATTATAATATGAAATGATTTGAATCATATATATATATTCGATGATAAGATCTGAAATTATACATTTTATACTGGCCAACGAAGAGTGTGATAAATAATGATCTAATAGTTAGTCCTTCGTTTTCGTTCTCGTTGTCTTCAACATATACTCATAAGTCATTCTGTTTACATATTGTTAATTATTTATTTTTAATCTATTATCAATTGATTTTATGTCTAAACTATTTCGTTTTCTTAAAAATATAGTTAAAAAATAAAATTGAATGTGTTGTTATGCATTAAAGTAAGATTTGCTGTTAATTAGTATTCTGTGATTTTCATTATAGAGAAAACTCGATACTCGATCTATTAAGAAATGACATTTCGTATGATAGATAATAAGTTTTGAATTACAAATGCAAGTTAACATACATTTATTTTGTTACTACATACACTTTTGAATGGCTGAAGTGTTTATGTATCGAATGAAATTTTTCATGTTTTCATAGTTAGTTATGATAATACTCTTGCGTTATATGAGATGTTTACTTTTGTGTTTATCTCGTCAATACATCATAGTTTCAATTTATGATTGATTATAACAGATTTATTAGTTCAATCGATTGTGATTTATCATATATTCATAATGAAATTTTTTTCATTCATTTATATTCTATGATGAAGTTTGTTGTAAAATAATTATAGTTTTCAGTAATATTCGAACGTAGAAGACATGTCAATGATAAACGAATACAAGATGATTATTACTTGTAGCGAATCATAATTATTGGTACGTGTAGAATGTTTTTTTTTGTAATAAAAATCTTGATGAACTTCATACTGATTTGTTTAAAAGATATTTCAATTTTTTATCTATCATATAGTAAAATTTATATTATTGAATATTTCAATATTTACAAAAGTTTTTTTTCTACTTTTTAAACTGAGTATTTAAATAAATAATGAGAAATATAAATCTAATAACAAATATTTGACATATATGATTTGTTATTTTTAGTACATACGATACGTTTTAATAAATATATGTATAAATCATTCAGTTAAAAAATGTATTCCATAGTATGAGCTTATCTTGATATATACTCAAACAATATATAATCGTTCATTGATTGGTAAAAACGCCCTCTATTGGGTACCCCGCTTATCAAGAAATATATGATCCATCCAACCTATACCTTTTAATATTACTATTGAAATTGCTCTTTCAAACAGAACAAACGAACGAGCAAGGCCATTAACATATAAAAAAAAGTGTACCCTGAAAGAAGTAATACATTTTCAAATATGATTGACTTTTTTGACAATATTTCAGATGTTTTTTAATGTCATCTCTTTGTTAACTGTTTGTATTGTGTCTCATACCTTAGGACAAATACTAGGTAAGTGATAAAAATGCTGATTATTTTGCTAAAATGCTTCATGCATGTTGTAATTGCTTTGAAATATTGTGATTTTTTTTCGTCACATAAAAAGATTGTCCGCATGGCTGGCAAGAATTTATTGGCACAGCTTCATGCTATCGTTTTATTCGTTTTCCAAAAGAAACCTATGACGGTGCTGCTGCTCGCTGTCCGGTTGGTTTGATAGATTTCGATTTTTTTTTATTCATCTTGCATATATATATGTTAATTCGATAGGCGGATCTTTTGAGTGTTGAATCCCTTTCTGAACATTTATTCATACAAGATTGGTTAAATGCAAATGATCCATCTGCACAACATTGGCTTACAAGTGGTAGACGTAATGGACCCTTTTGGCAATGGATAAAAAGAACTGGTATATTAAATTTTCAATTTAATCAAGGCTGGTTACCAAATACTGAAATAGAACAACAATTACGATCCTTTCTCTTTTATGCTTATCAAAGTAAAAGGATTTTTTATTTTTTTTTTGACTAATTATTTTATTTTATTCTGATAGGTAGTCAATGGGGTTGGTTACCACATGACGTAACATCAGCGGAAACTGTACCATATGTTTGTGAAGTACCTATTCGAGAGACATATGGTATTTTAGATAATTATAGAGGGATTGGTATGATTATTATTGAATTGAAATGTTTTATAGTAGTTTTAAAATCATTTAGAATATGGTCTTCCATCAAATATTGAACAACGTTTTGTTCCTCGTGCACCGAAATTTTATGAACAACCACGAGATCAAGAATTCGGACGAATAGATCAAATTACACTTGGTAGTGGAAGTACATTTGGTATTAGTAAATTATCTCTAGCTATTGTCGTTACATTAACATGTCGAGCTGATGCATATCCAGTTGCTGATTATTAGTATGTGAATAATAGGATCATTCAAAATGTAATGACCTATTTTATTTTAGTTGGTTTCGAATGACAACTGGTATTATATCTGAAGCTGTTTTCGTTAATTTAAATGATCCACGCTATTTTCAACATGGTGGTAATTTAATGGTAAAAAATATTTAAATTATTTTTTATACATGAGGAAATATTTATGTTTGTCTTATTTAGATTAATAATCCAGCAAATGAAGATAGTGGAACATATTTTTGTAAAGCAAGTAATATTTTTGGTACAGCTATTAGTAATCGAGTTTATTTACGTGAAATAAGTACGTATATATTAATATGAAAAATAAAAAATGAAAAATTGATATTTAGCATTGGGTCAGTTTGAAAAACGTGAACGACCAAAAGTAATTGCTGAAGGTCATCGTGATGCTATTATTGATTGTCTATATAAAAATACAAATACAGGAGATGTATATTATTTAGATTTCGTTTTTCTCTAAAAATTAATTCTGATTTTTTTTAAGCTTAATTATGCGTGGTTTAAAGGTGCAATCAATCAAAAAGTTCAACAATCAGCCGAACGTTTTATTTCTCGAAATGGAAATTTATATTTTTCTCGTGTAACTGATGGTGACTCAGGAAAATATTATTGTGCTGTTCAATCAGAAAATACTCGACTTCGTTATTTACCATCTCAAACAAGTGAAGGTACAGAATTAGATGTGCGTTCAACATTTGGACAAGAACGTAGTCCACGTATATTTCCTAATTTTCCACATGTTTTTCCTACAACACGTTTACCTAAATTGGGTGAAAATGCATCAATTGAATGTATTGCTGAAGGTTATCCTGTTCCAACTTATCAATGGTTTCGTGAAGATGAATCTGGAAATTTACTTCCATTACAATCAAAAGCTATTTTAATTAATTTTAATCGTGAATTAATTATACCTAATTTACAACAAGATGATCAGGGTTTATATCGTTGTGAAGCATCAAATACACGTTCAGTTGTTTCTCAATCTGTTTCATTACTTGTACAAATTGATCCTATTTTTGTTGTACCACTTGAAGATCAAATACTTGATGTTGGTTCTGTTTTACAATTGTATTGTGAAGCATATCCAAGTGAATTAGATCAATTACGTTATTCATGGTTTATAAATGGAACAGAAATATTTTGGGAACGTTTAACATTAGTACAACAACAACGATTAACAATAAATAATAATCTTTTAATGATTATGAATGTTCAACCATTTGATAATGGTATTTATCAATGTGCAGCAACAAATACACAAAATAATGTACAACGTTTTAGTGCAGCTGAAGTACGTGTTATTACATTAGCACCAACATTTGGTAAACATACAATGATATCAACATTAAGATCAACTGTTGGTGGTTTAGTCACAATTATTTGTCATCCGGAAGGTGCACCTCAACCACAAATACAATGGTTTAAAGATAATCTGCCAGTAAATCTTGGAACGAATGCACAAATTTTTCCTAATGGAAACTTAGTTTTTACAAATATACAATTAACAGATGCAGGTAAGAATACAATTCTTAAAAAAAAGAGCCATAAAATTAGATTCGATATAAGAAGAAAAATATGCGGTTTTTTTCAAAGCTATAAAACACCT